GCAGAGTCCCTTGTGAAAAAGGGTTAAGGCTTCTAGTACTTAGGGCACGGAGTCCCTTGGGCCCGTTGCCAAACCTTCGAGGCGTCCATGGACGGCCGGCGCGAGGGGAATCAGCTCGGAGGTTGCCGGGCTGCAGTTAGCCTCAAGGTTTCTAACGAAGTGCCAACCAACACTAGTTACGAAAGCCGGCACATGTATCGAGAGGTGCGGGATGGATGCAGGGAGACGGGTGTATGATAGCACCGCGCATCGCTCGATGTTGCTGACAGGGTTCGCATGCCGAAGCTGCCGAATGGGTCGCCAAGGGCCCTTTGGGAAGAGGCCTTTTCCTTGGAGGGCTGAGCAGTGCCAAGTCTCGACGCAGCGACGAGATGAGTGGCTAACGGTGCACATCTTTTTGTGCTTCTGTCTGATTTCCATTTATCTATCTGTCTACCATGAATCTATCTATCTGTCTGTCTATTTGTCCATCTATCTACTTGTGTCTATTGGAATATGTTTACATTCACCCAGCAGGTGCGCACTGCAAGCAAGTGCAGCTCTCTGCGCAGTGGCCGTCTGGGCAGTCGGCAAAATCCAGAGCTAGCGAAGATGAGGCCATTTGTTGCTGTTGCTGTTGCTGCTGTTGCTGTTGCTGCTGTTGCTGTTGCTGCTGTTGCTGTTGCTGCTGTTGCTGTTGCTGCTGCTGCTGCTGCCGCTGAATCTGCGCCTGCTGCTTGTTCTTGTTATTATTGTTATTGTTCTTGTTCTTGTTCTTGTTCTTGTTGCTGTTGTTGTTGTTGTTGTTGTTGCTGTTGTTGTTGTTGTTGTTGTTGTTGTTGTTGTTGTTGTCCGCCGCCTTTCCGTGCAAGTGGGCTTCTGGATTGTCAGAAAACCTAGAATCTAGAATGCACCAAGTTCGCTGAACCCCAATCCCTCATGACAACTCGAACACTCCTGAAACATGAGCGAATGCTCGAAAGAGAAGCTGAACAGAATGCCAGAAATCGCAGCAAACCTTGGAAGATGCCACCCAGCTGCTGAACATCTCTCCACCTTCTGTAGACAGAGGCCTCCGAAGCAGGCACCGAACGAAAGCCTTCTGCGCCCTGCTGTGATATAGGCCTCTGCTGCACAAGCTTTCTGTAAACGGCTCCGAGTTTGTTCCCCTCTCCGCTCCGGACCTTCGGCGCACCAAAGGCATAGGCGCCTTTGGACTTCACAGCTTCAGAGCAGCAGACTCTTTTATTAACGTTTTGTAGGTAAGAGAAGCACAGTACAGCTGCGCCGTACCTGGCCCAACCAGACGTAGATTGTGAACTCTGCATGTACAGCTTATCTGATCGACAGAGTGACGCCATCAGCCCTTGATTGATGCTCCCAGAATCTGCTGAACCACAGGTCACTTCGCCGGTCTGCTAGAGTTGTCAGCCCGACCGCAGAAAGCCAAGCTGGAAACGGCGCGGACCGCCCCAGTCTTGGTACACGCACTACTCGAGCCGTTTTAAACAGCTCCGAACAAGTGTCCACAATATCCCACCCCTCTAGGCTGCCCAAGACCTTTAAGATACCACTTTTCTAGGGCTCTAGGGGATCGCAAATCCTAGGTCCGCACATGTATAAACCATGGCACATCTTACGCCCTCGTCGAGGCGGACGACTGCCCATGGAAGGTAACCTCAGAGGCAAGGTTGACATAGACTCTGCGATGCAGAAGTGTAGGCTCGTGTAACCGTATGTAACCCTGGCACATCTCACACCGACGCAAGTGGACAAGAGGTGTGTATGTACGCCCATCTCAGCACGCGTGTCTTGTGAACACGATGACGACCAGGACAACCTGCGAAGATTGGATCTTTGCTACACGACTGCACGATTACTGCGTTTAGGATCGCTGTGCAAGTCGCCCCACCTCGCGCGGATCTTAGAGTCTCAGGGCCTTCAACCCTTAACCAGCCTTCGTGAATAGTGTGAAACCCAGAGCCCCAAACCCAAAGCCGAATCCTCGAACATTTGTGTGTGGTGGGAGAAGGCTCTGAAGATGTTGCCCGGAATCCGTCCAGCAACTGGTCTCCAGAAAAAAGTCCGAGTCTATGCGTCTGCATGATGCCAGAGTCTTCTACACATAGAACCGTACTCCCAGAGCATCATCCGACTGTGAAACTCCTATAGAATCCTACCGAAGTTCAAATTATGCCAGTGGCTGTCGTGGCAGCGCCAAGCTATCGGAATGAAGCGAGATCCCACCATGTCTCCGGGACCACGTGGATGAAAGAAATCTGAGCTGGTTGAAGTGCAAGGGACCCTGCTTGGCGAGGGATGGGTTAACGGTTGGTTGAAGTCGAGCGATGGATGCGCAAAATCTACAGAAGGAGCACAAGCATGCTCAACCGTCAATACCCGGAGCCGAAAGCCCCGAAGAGCTGTCGGCAGAGCTACACTCACGGCTTGAGGGGGTGGCCACGAAAGCTGCCGGACCATGCCGGTGAGTGAAACACCACCAATCACACACAACTGTGCGCGAAACTCCCTGGCCAAGCAGATGTCTCACCTGCTAGTATCTCTCGGCTCCCATGGGGATGCGTGCCATTAACTGTTTGTTATTTGTCAATCAGACCTGCGGGCCATACCAGTCTCTTGCCGACCAGATGGTTACAGTACATAACTGAATTGATAGAAGACCATTCCCGCAAGCCCCACAAGAGCAAGTTGTGATGACTTGAGCACTGCCAGAATGGGGTCGTTGACTGGTCGGTTTTGTGAGGGTTGCCCATCAGCTAAGTCACGCATCAGAAGTCTCCGCCCAAAAGATGTCGACTCCTCGCTTTGGGCTTTTCGTCCATATGACCGGCTTCGCTTCCCTGACCGATTCCATGGCAGGTGGTTTCAAGATTCCAAGATCTGCAGCAACGACACGCAGCCACACGGACATAAACAATGAAACTCCCGCAAAGACAAGTCAGAGCGGAGCAGGAACTTCGCGACGCCAGTGTCATATCAAATCATATCCAAGTTTCTCCGCCAATCGCCTGGAACCTCGATGTTGACACTTGCCTCGGACGGGTTTCAACTCTAACAGGTGCCTTCGGTCATTTGCGGCAAACGGTAACAACTACAGCAACAGGAACAACCACCGCCACCAGCCGCCACCACCCCACCACCGCAACCGGAACAGCAAAGGCAAAAACAACGGCAACAACCAACCAACCCCAACCCCAACCCAACCGCAACACCAAACAGCAACAGCAGCATCATCATCATCATCATCATCATCATCATCATCATCATTAACAGCAGCAACAGTAATAATAGCAGCAACAACACCAACCGCAGCCACTGCCACCAGCACCACCGCCAACAACAACAACGACGAAGACAAAGACAAAGCCATAAGCTATCGTCATCCATCAGTGTCACCATCACTGACCATCGCCTTCGCAATAATCACGGCACTAGTCGCCATCACCACGAAGCAGCTGCAGCACTTTGGCAAGAAACGGCCAAGCATGGTATGGAATCTCAACACTTGGCGCATGCAGCGTGGTGCGTTTGAAACCGAAGCGGGACTGTTGAGGCATTCACGTGCACTTGTATCGGAGTGTGGCGGCAACTTAATGCAGCCGCCTCTGTTCAAGATTGAAACATGCCATCGTTGGGAAAGCTGAATTCAGCTTTGTCTTCCGAAGGCTCAGATCTACAGTTACATTGAAATCCTACGACACTGTATGACTCCTTTGGGCATCTCCCAGACATCGCTAGCTACTGCAAGCGCGCGAAAGTGACGTCTAAGAAGCTGCGGCCATGTGACCTGTAATCTGTGAAAGCAAAGCTTTCGACCTAAGCCATGCACTCTAACATCTTCTATGTCACGAAACCTGCGCGCGGCAGCAGCTCGAGCAAATGGGATCGGCCAGGTCATGTTGAAACAGAAAGGTTGCCCGCACGGTCCATCGGTGTGCCGTCAACAAGGTAGCCCAAGTCGGCAGCATAAACTGAAGACGGCAATGGCGAGCCCGGCGCGTGCATGTCCGGCCCAATGCTCTCGGGGTGGTTGATGGCGTTGCCGGCGCGATTGAGGGGCGTACCGTCTGGGAGGTAGCCGACAGAGTTCACAAAGTTGGCACGGGGCAGCGGAGATCCTGGAGCATGTCTGTCCGGTCCAATGGTCTCCGGATGGTTGATGGCATTCCCAGCACGGTTCAGCGCCGTGCCGTCTGGAAGGTACCCCACATCATTGCAAAACTCTAAGTCAGCATAAGCATCCTTTTGGAAACTGTACTCGAACTTGCGGCCGTGCATGGCGATTCCCTGGCTCATCTGGGTTGATGCCGGCGGGGGTGCCGATGAAGCCATGCGAGGTGCCGCAGCTGTGGCTGCAGCTGCAGGTGGCGGGCCCTTGACGGAGTTGTTGCCAGCCGTGGCAAGAGGTGTGCCATCCGCCAGGTAGCCAATGTCTGCGAGGTAGGTTGAAGGAGGCAACGGCGAACCGGCTATGTGCTGGTCTGGCTGCATCGCCTCCGGGTGATTAATAGCATTGCCAGCAGCATTCATTGCAGTCCCATCTGGCAAATAGCCCACGGAATTCACGAACTTGGCACGGGGTAGAGGGGAGCCAGCAACATGCCTGTCCACTCCAATCGTCTCCGGGTGGTTGACGGCATTTCCTGCCTTGTTAAGCGGGGTACCATCCGGCAAGTAGCCCACGTCATTGGTGAACTCCAGGTCTGCGTAGGCATCCTTCTGGAAGGCATAGGTCGCATCTTTCATAGCTGTCTTCGACTTCTTCTTGCCGCGACGGACGGCACCCAGCACCGGGACCATCAACCCAGCGCAGGCGACTGGAAGGGAGCTTTGCGAGATCTTTCCTGGCACGGGCTTGGCCTCCTGGGCAGGCAGGCCCATGCGGCCTGTGGCGCCTGCGGGAGCGCCTGCGGGAGCGATGGCGAACGCCACAGAGCCAGCACCACTCAAAGCCATGACTGCAGGCAGGCCAGGATGCAAGGCAAATGCGAGTTGGCTTTGAACACGGCAAACACTCTAGCCAGAACGGCTTTCGATCAATGCTCACCACGTATTGCCGGCCGCCTGAATGAATGCCGCTCGTGGAAAAACAGTCATTACATGTCAGGCAACTTCGAAGCACCTGCAGAACCAGCAGTGAAAACACAATGCTGCAATACAGAGGCTAGAGCAACAAGACGACTGACCCGCGGCTGAGCCGAGTGACCCGCAAAGTCCTTGAGTGGAGTTGAACCGGGCGCTGTCGATAACTTGATTGAGGCTTTCTCCTCGGTGCATAACAGCCAGCTGTTTGCGTCGAGAGTAATAAGCAGATCGCACGAATCAAAAGCACGAGAATGCGTTTGTCTGAGCATCGGGGGCCGTCACGGGAAGATTTTTCAAAAACACTCTCAACATCAGATGTCGTAAGCCGCTCATTGGAACCAGCTCCCAGAGTTTCGGGGCAAAGCATCGCGATTCCACTTTCTGCAAAGCCGGGAAATGCCATGTTGAAGACTTATGGCACAGCAAGTTGGGTGCAAGCATCCAGGAGCATCGTCGGAGGCTCCCAGGCACTCGGCAAAGTCTTTCTCCTCGTCCCCAATGGGACCCGCAACACCCGCTGATCCAGGCACAGCCAGCGCTATCATCCTAAATCTTGCCCTAAGTCCTGTCCGGACAAAGCAGATGCGAGAGAGAGCTTCGTGTTTGAGTGCCTCTTTCCTTCCCGAAGCTTAATTGCTGTAGTCTGAACGCCGTGATAGCTGTCTTGCCGCATGGAGCGGGGCAAAATAACCAACCACGTAACCACCAAACCCTGTAGGCGCCTATTTCTCTGCTTCATCCGCCTCCAATAATGTCGAGCTCAAACACGAGCACCACGGCAAGCACACCAAACCGAAGCTACACATAAACTGCTCCGAGCTCAACCACTTGGGCAGGCACTGTTGGGGACATGTCGCAGCCTAGCGCTCGCTTGCAACACACCTCCTCATGTCACTCCACGAAACCACAACATAGGCTTCCGGCTATCAGTGGTCTCGTGATTCACAACTCTACCGGGAGTGAGAAGAGGGTTTGGAATATCGCCAGCTCGGGCAATCCATGCGAGGCGTTGGAGTTGGGAACTGGTCTCCTCGTATCTCTCCTGGTCCGAGTCGAGGCTGCATGTGCCCCGGTACGCCACGCCCAGGTCCCTGAGCATTTTGATTTAGCTAGCAGTCAGCCGGCTTATTTCATGTGTGTTTCTCCTGTGAACTGTATGCTCTTTCCAATGAGCTCCACGTCCTTGCAATCGGAGGCGTCTCTACAGTCTCTACATGCGGACAGAGTTGAATGTCGCGTCAATGTCCCGTCCATGTCAGATCTTTAACCTCGTTACCTCACACTCGATTGACACGTACGTGCTGAAATGTGCTAGTGCAGCATATCATGTGATTCCTGTATACCACACTGCGGTTTTTTTCGCTTGTCATGGAACGGCTCCATTCGTGCCGCTACGGGATGTCACGCCATGCTTTGCCTCTTGCGGCCGAGGCGCTGCACAGAGCAGGGCACCGGTTTCCAGGGCAACGCCGCCCAGGCCCGGAGCTGCGCAGCCTCCCGGGAGCCGGGGAGACTTTCTTGGCTTCGTGGCTTTGCCCCTTACCCGAAGGCTTTCGGTCTGGTCTGCCCCTTGTATCGTGTTCTCAAAATTATGGTGTCTCTCACATGACTAGATGCTCCGTCAGGGGGCGTGTAGTGAAAGCTCTCGCCTCCGAGGTCGCCCCGAAGCTTTGAACGAAGCCTGTCGGATTTAAACAAATTTAGACAGAAAGGCACCGACGGGAGAAGCTCAGGGCTTCGAACTTCTGAGTTTTTCAGGTGCCCTATGAATGCTGCCCTTCGAGCAGTGTGTCATTGGTATGGATATACGTTCCAAGCAGTTTTAGCGAGCATGTTTTCTGCCGCAGACCGCATAACAAGCTCAAGCATGTGGTCAGTTCGTTTGGGCGGACAGTCACGCAGCCGATGTTTCTGGTGGGTCTCTTGGCGCATCGCTATTGCCCATGGACAGCTACAAAGATAGCGAAGCATCTTTGGTCAGCCGTGGTGCTCTGCTTGTGTTTTGACGGGAAGGGTGATGAAGTATTCCTAGTGGAGCTGGTGTTGTAATTCACAATGAATATATTATAAACATCACTGATCATCATCATCATCATCCTCAGCCAGAGCATTGCGAGCCTAAACACACATCCGCGCATTCAGTGTCCTCATAGCCTCTATCCAGTAGATTCTAGATCGTCCGGCCACAAAACGTCTACGATATCCCCGAGGAGCCGAAAGCTGCCATGACAGAGAGGAGAAGCGCGAGAAAAGCAGCGATGTCCTCGGGGTCGTGAGAAACTGACAGGCCAGCAAGCCATGCAAGTATGCGACTCTCACATGATACATACATACATACATACATACATACATACATACATACATACACATACAGACATACGGCATACAGGCATACAGGCATACAGACATGCATGCATGCATACAAACAGACAGACAGAGAGACGGACAGACATGCATATTACATGTAAGAGCTGTAGATGTGCACACGTGTATAAGCATTTTTAGTATGCATTTAAACCATCGAGCTGTCACACACTCTAACTCCAGGTAATGTCGGCCGAGCTGCGCACATTGGCGAACATGTCACGTGCGCGGCTTTCAGTCACGACCAGGTGCAACATTGTCCCCGAGGTCTACGACCCAAAAACAAAAGAACGATGGACAATTCCGTCTTCCGAGGGTCCGGAAGCCATGAGCGGAGGGGATCCCATGCCATTGGCAGCCTCGCCGGCCTTACCCAATTTTAGAGCTTCTGTCTTGCACAGAGGCAAGGCTCCATTCCAACATTCTCGGGCAGCATGCAGGATCACAAGCCCCGCCTCCTACCGCTGCGTCAGCTGGGCTTCACAGCTCCGGGCCATGGGCGCCAAGCAATGAAATAAATCTTACTTCGTCCGTAGCCGACCGGTCGTCTTGGTTCGACGACCCGGCCCTGGTGGTTCACTGCGATAAAAACAGCTGCCTCACGACCATGACAAAGCATTAAAAAGGCTCCCGAATTGCTCAAAATGATGTGCGCAGTCGTTTTGAAGCCGTTGGCAAACAGGCAGCCCGTTCTTTGACAGGCTCTTGAGCATGCAGGTACAAGCATCCCAGCAAGTACAATGCGACAAAGACACAGAATCCACTTCTTCCTCACACCTAGCATGCCCGGGTCTCCGGGGCCTCTGCTGCATCAACTCTGACATGCCGAACTTGATCATTGCTTTCATGCCCACCTCCAGTCTGGCAGCCTCGACGCTCGGCTGCACAGAAGGCGTGGATCCCAGGCCCTCGTGTCGGCAGCAGTGAGAGTGATCTGGATTGGAGACACGGTTCCCGGTTCAGGAATGCTCAGATGGATGTATGATGATGCATGGCATCCGATGCGAGGAGTGCAGAAACTCTCAAACTTGGCAATCATTAATGTCCTCACATAACCTAGCATTCATCATGCTTGTTCAGACGTCGTGATCTTTGAAGAACGTAAACAGCTGAAGAGAATCTAGGAACCTAGGCCTCATCTGAAGACTCTCCCATCTCAAATTACTGTTACTGGACACAGCATGCAAGGCTCGGCAAGGTGTTTGCCATCTCTCTTCGATCGCCCGAAGTGCTGTGGGTTGGAACGCGCCCGACCGCCGAACTCTAGAGTCGCGAACGGTGAGGGCCCTAAGCTACCAAGAATGGGTTGCCGGAGCTTGACACGGTTTGTCAAACCCGGAAATCCAGCACACTTGAAACATTTAGGAGCCTGATCCTGGGAATGAACCCCGTGTTGACAACTTGATCCGATCTTTTCTTGAAGCAGGGCTCTCACACCTTTCTGTAAACACTCTGCAAGAAGCTTTCGGCCCCAATGAGTCCAGTGTGACCATGGCCACTCACATGCGGCAATTCCGCGGCCAAGCAGGACGCTAGGACCTGAGCACAACGAAGCCGCGACAGCCATAGCCGGCTCGGGACTTTGTTCTTCTTGGGGGCGGCGCCTGGGGCCTCGCCTTGAATGGGAGAACTCCCTAACCCTCCACGGCGAGCCCACACCCGGCGCTTCAGGCTCACTACCCCTGCCACCACCCGACGCTTTTTCCCAGATCCCATTTGAAGCCTCTTGTTTCAAGTGACCAGTTCGACTCGAATCTCGCGACTTTCTGCTCGGGGGGTCGCCCGTGCAGCCGCTAGATCGTGCACAGCGCCCGGTCTGCGGGCGATCGCCCCTTGCTTGAGCCATGGGGCAGACGGCAGTGCCGCCGCGGTGCGCCCCGCCCGTTTTTGATAAAGCCGTTCCAGTGGTTTGCGGTTTGAGGCTCAAGTGGTATAGAAATTGTATCACTGTGTGGTTTATTACAAGTGAGGGCGAGTTTGGCAGCATGGCCTAATTGTCACTCCTTCAGCTTACTCCGGGCTGCCGCCCGTGGACGCAGCCTCAAGAACGATAGCTCAACGACGACCCTGAAACCGCATCTGCTCACTGGTTGCCCTGACCACGCACTCGATGCATGCTCCAGGGAAGCCTCAACGACTTTCCGAGTCAATGGCACAACTCTGGGGGGCGGCCATTTCCGCCCGAGCATGCCTGCCAGCTCCTCAGCGAGCTGTATCGTGCAAACAGTAGAAAGGGCTCAGCGTCTCGCGGGCATTTGCTTGGAACATTCGGGACCCACTACTCCGATGGCAGTCCTTGTCCGAGCAGTAGCACCCGTCGTCTGTGTCCTGCAGAACTCACCCGAGCAAAAAAGCAACGAACAGAATTAAGAAAAGTCCGACCCATGCGGCATGCTAGGGCTGCCCAAACGATGCTGAGAAAGCCTAGCCATATCATAGAGTCTAGCCAGTTTTTGCAAGCGGTCACCTGAGCTTCCACTGCACGCACTACCTCCGGCAATATCCGCGAGGCCTCGTTCACCAGCCGGAAGAAGGAGCTGTGGTCAATGCCATGCTCTGGCCGAAGGCCGAGGCCGTCGCAAATGAGCCGATACTCCTGCAAGCGAAAAGGGTCTTCGTAACCAACAGGTTGTAATGCTGCTGTGGCTGCCGCTGTGGCTGCGGCCGCTGCTGCCGCTGTGGCCAGTTGTGGTGGTGGTGGTGGTGGTGGTGGTGCCGGTGGTGCTGCTGCTGCTGGTGCTGGTGGTGCTGGTGGCGGTGGCGATGGTGGGAGTGGCGGTGGTGGTGGTGGGGGTGACGGTGGTGCTGGTGCTGGTGCTGGCGCTGGTGCTGGCAGTCGTGGTGGTCATTGTAGGAGGAGTCGGAGGAGGCGGAGGACGAGGAGTAGTAGGAGCAGTAGCAGTAGCAGGAGCAGGAGCAGCAGCAGCAGCAGCAGGAGCAGGAGCAGGAGTCGTCGTGGCTGTTGCTGCTGCTCTGCTGCAGTAGCATGATGTTGGTTGACATTTGTCTCTGGATTGGTTTGGATTGGCTCGGGGCAACTTGGTATCAGCCGCTCAAGGTGTACGTCGTTCTGCATGGATCTCGGGGAGTTCGCGTAGTTACAGCGCAGGGATGGTGCCTAGCAGCGGTTGTAGCGAGGAGCAGGGACACCAGGGGCAGCAGCTGTGCAGCTGTTGTTGCTGTTGTTGTCGTGGTTCTCGCGGCCATCAGATCTTAAACGGACGTGTTCCTCGTCCCACTGATCTTCTGCGCCGTCGAAGCCCACCGAACGCGCCTGTCCGTGCAAAGCATATCCGTGCACTCCTGCAGTGTTTGTTGATGGTTGCTCCTTCGAAGCTTGTGATATGTCTGGCATGGTCAAAAGTACTTACTTCGTGTTTCTTCTTGCATGGCCTTGGGTCAAGAAGCAACGCTGCCTGATGACACACATCCCTTCAGCGCACACAGCCAGGACTGTAATGCAAACCATAGTTCACTGGAGTCCCGTCCGAGGCACGAAGGAAAGCATCTCTGAAGCTTGCAGCAAGCCGTCACGATTGGAGTCGAAATGTACAAAGACTTCCTGCACAATCGCAGCACTCTTTCGACAGCCCTTGCAAACACTGCTCACACATTCCTGCGATCCTGCCGATCTTGATGACACGCCGCATGGCTGAGGATAGCGGGTTTTGCTCTGGTCCGAGCTGTGCCCCCGTGCCCACTCCCAGCGCCTTAATCAGCTCCTCTCGAGGTGAGCTCTGCCTGGGCGCCTCGTCGTCGCGCTTCCTTCGGCTTCGCTGGGATTCCACAGGTCCAATCTGCTGACCCAATGCCCTTCTGAACAGCGCCGAGAGGCCGCTTCCTCGTTGCCTCCACATCCTGATTTCTCAAAGCCTGGTAAAACTCACTCAAGACCAGGGGGCATATGCAGAGAGAGAGAGAGAGGGAGAGGAAGAGAGGAAGAAAGGGAGGGAGAGGCAGGGCAGGACAACCACCCGCCTTGTCTTTAACGACCAGGTCTTCTCCTCAGCACTGTGCTAGCAGCTCGAAGCCGACGAGCCGCTTCATTGGTACGACCGCCGAAGGCGTCATGCAACAAGCATCAAGTATCTTTGGCTTCCCGGCTTTGGTCTGCAAGACATGGGCTATCGAATTTCAAGCTACTGCCTGTCTCCGAAACCGCTGCATGCACAGCGTGGAAGCCTAAGCACGAGAACAACCTGGCTCGCTGGTACAATCTCGCAAATATTCCCAAGGCGACTAGCTACAGCAAGAACCGCCCTCTGCTAAAGCGATTGGTGAGCTGCACTTGGGCTTCAAGTTCGACGAATGCTGCCCACCTACACGCACAATAAAAATAACTATTGCCCATGGGCCCCCTCAATCAACGGACACTGTTTGCGGCCAAAAGGCCTAAGGAACCAAGCAAAGCCACACCGGCCAGGGCTCGGTACGCCCAGGTGCCATCTGCCCACTCCTGAGCTGGATGCAATCCTAACACAAGATTGCGCACGGTGCCGTCTCCACAGGTACAGATGGGCACTCTATGTCTTCAAGCTCCGCTTTAAAACGAGGGAGTCGGTCCTGGCATATCAAGAGCGAGTTCTGGATGATGGATTGCAACCAACGAGACAAGTCTATCATCCCTGAACCCCAAAAAGATTGAGCCTAGAAACCATTGTGAACACGGGCCGTGTCTCGTGCCCTTCCTCCTCTGCACGGGGCACGTCCGTATGCAACTGTGTCTGTATGCATATTGTGCATATGCCTGTGTGTATGAGCACATGTGTGCATATGTACCTCGCTGTTTATGTATACATGTAGATTGTGTAGGTGTATATGCGCGCATGCGTATATTATGTATGTTCATGCATGCATGTGAATGTGTTTGTAGCGTGTGTGTGTGTGTGTGTGCCTCTGTAACTCGGGGCACCTGAAGCAAACACTTTGGCAGGTGGCGTGCCATCCGCGGAGAAGGGCCGGATCCAGGAGGTCCTCGATCACAGCAGATATACCGGTGGCACAGAATGGAACAAACACGTGACTACGGTCTTTGCTCACTTTACTCTTCGTTTCATTGGTCCTACACTGATGCTCTTGTTGCTGCACGCACATATACATACAAACATGCATGCAGATGAATATAAATCTAAAAACATGAATATTTTTGACATGTCCATTATGGCCTTGCTGATTTCATTCTTCCTCTTGGCATATATGGCATATACGATAGGTCCGATAGGCGATATGGCCGCGACATACTCTGTGAAAGCCACTTGGAATGCTGGACACGTCCACTCGGATTTCGATGGACAGCACTCATATCGGGGACTCAAAAAACAGCATTTATCGTCGAGGCCTGCTTTGCCGGGCAGGAGGAAACGGGAGCCCGGCAGAGGGCTCAAGATGCACCTCTCTGTCTCTGCGTTCCTTCATGCATTCATGCAATTTCACGCCACGAATCTCAATTTTCAAGCCCAAGAAGGTGTCGGATGCTGCCAAGTCATGCCAAGTCACCGCATTCTGCGGGGCACCGATCACAGCCAAGCTCCTTCCCTCCTTCACTGACTGTCATCGCATGCACTGTGACTTGATTTGTATCTTTTTATTTGTTTCGGGCCGTGGGCTGCTGCACTCTCGAGCACGCAAGCAGTTGGAAATCTCCATGAAATGGTAGTGCTCAGCTGCACAGTCGTTTGTCTAAGCCTGGATGAGCTGCAGGTTGCTGAAGAGCGACCCCTTCCATCTCGACTCGGCCTCTCCGGAGTGTTACAAGAACTCCAACCGACATCAACAACTATAGCCATCATCCCACCACCAGCAACAGTCGGAAACACAGCGAATATACCATTTATGATGATAGCCACCGCCACCATCACCACCAACAGCAACACCACAAACACCAACAACACCACCACCAAAACCACCACCACCACCAACAACAACAACAACCACCACCACCACCACCAACAACAACAACAACAACACCACCAACAACGACGACAACAACAACAAGGTAGCACGTGCGTTTGCGCCGCGCGGGGTGTGTCGTTTGTCTTTGGGACGTTTTTTGGTTAAAAACGCAAAAGTGTCGATATGTGTGTGTGGTTTTCGTGAGCAGGAGGCTGTTCGGGAGCATGTATTTGTCCAAGTTCTTCGTCTTGGATATTTACTGAGTTTTTTTTTTTGCGAAAGTGTCGCAAATACAGTCTTTTTCGTTGTTTCTGCTGCTTGATTGTTGTGTTCATTTTGAAAGTTTTTGTCTGGAAAGGCAAAAACCGCGAGTTGTTTTGCATGGCTTGCGTTTCAACAAC